CCTCTACAGCAATGTCATTCGTTCGTTGTCAATGAACGAGGGTCAGATCATGCCCCACGACAACGTCAAGGCTATTGGAGGCAAGAGGGGCCGTAATGGTCGCGTCAATGCCTCTGCCAAGCAAGGCAAGGTTGAGACGATTCCTTTCTTGCATCTGAAGAGGAAGGACGACCATGGCTGGGAGTACAGCAAGAAGCTCACTGGCGTCTACCTAGACTGCTTGGAGGAGGCTGCTAAGTCCGGTGTCACTTTCCAGGGCAAGTATGCTCTTATGACGGGCGCTGGTGCTGGCTCCATCGGCGCGCAAGTCCTTCAAGGTCTTATCAGCGGTGGTGCCAAGGTCGTTGTCACAACTTCCAGGTTCTCCCGCGAAGTCACCGAGTACTACCAGTCCATGTACTCGCGGTACGGTGCTCGGGGCTCTCAACTCATTGTTGTACCCTTCAATCAGGGTAGCAACCAGGATGTTGAGGCTCTAGTTGACTACATCTTCGACACCAAGAAGGGTCTTGGTTGGGATCTCGATCTCATCGTTCCCTTTGCCGCCATTCCGGAGAACGGTCGCGAGATTGACAGCATCGACTCCAAGTCGGAGCTTGCTCACCGTATCATGTTGACCAACCTTCTGCGCATGCTTGGAGCTGTCAAGAAACAAAAGCAGACCTACGGTTACGAGACGCGCCCAGCACAAGTCATCCTGCCATTGTCCCCTAACCACGGAACCTTTGGTAACGATGGTCTCTACTCGGAGTCTAAGATGTCACTCGAGACTCTCTTCTCAAGGTGGCACTCGGAGAGCTGGGGTAACTACCTCACCATCTGCGGTGCTGTTATTGGTTGGACTCGTGGTACTGGTCTGATGGGTGCCAACAACATTGTTGCTGAGGGCATTGAGAAGTACGGTGTGCGTACTTTCTCCCAGCAAGAGATGGCCTTCAATTTGCTTGGTCTTATGGCACCACCGATTGTCGACCTCTGCCAGGTCGAGCCTGTGTGGGCAGATCTCAACGGTGGCTTCCAGTACATCCCCAACCTGAAAGATCTCATGACCGATCTGCGCAAGGAACTCACTGAGACGAGTGATATCCGCAGAGCTGTCATCAAGGAGAATGCCATTGAGAACAAGGTTGTCAACGGCGAGGCCAGCGAAGCCCTGTACAAGAAGGCCACGGTCGAACCCCGAGCAAACATGAAGTTCAACTTCCCTAAGCTACCCGACTGGGACACTGAGGTCAAGCCTCTCAACGACAACCTGAAGGGTATGGTTGATCTTGAGAAGGTCGTCGTCGTCACTGGTTTTGCTGAGGTTGGACCCTGGGGTAACTCCAGGACACGCTGGGAGATGGAAGCATATGGCGAGTTCTCCCTTGAGGGATGTGTTGAGATGGCATGGATCATGGGTCTCATCAAGAACCACAACGGTCCACTCAAAGGAAAGAGCTACTCCGGATGGGTCGATGCCAAGACTAACGAGCCGATTGATGACAAGGATGTCAAGCCCAAGTACGAGAAGTATATCCTTGAGCACGCTGGTATTCGTCTCATCGAGCCTGAACTCTTCAACGGCTACGATCCCAAGAAGAAGCAACTCATGCAGGAGATCCAGATCGAGGAGGACCTCGATCCATTCGAGGCTTCCAAGGAGACTGCCGAGGAGTTCAAGCTGGAGCATGGCGACAAGGTCGAGATCTTCGCGATCGAGGGCTCTGCCGAGTACACTGTTCGTATGAAGAAGGGTGCTACACTCCTCCTTCCCAAAGCTCTGCGCTTCGATCGTCTCGTTGCTGGCCAAGTCCCTACTGGCTGGGACGCCAAGAAGTACGGTGTGCCCGATGATATCATCTCTCAGGTCGACCCTGTAACACTCTTTGTACTCGTCTCTACTGCGGAGTGTCTGCTTGCCAGTGGTATCACTGATCCCTACGAGTTTTACAAGTATGTCCACATTTCTCAGGTCGGTAACTGCGTCGGTTCCGGTATTGGTGGTACTACCGCCCTTCGTGGAATGTACAAAGACCGCTTCATGGACAAGCCAGTCCAGAAAGATATCCTGCAGGAGTCTTTTATCAACACCATGAGCGCCTGGGTCAACATGTTGCTCCTTTCATCCACCGGACCTATCAAGACTCCCGTCGGTGCTTGTGCCACTGCTGTTGAGTCTTTGGACATTGGTTACGATACCATTGTCGAAGGAAAGGCCCGTGTCTGCTTTGTTGGTGGTTTCGATGACTTCCAGGAGGAAGGCTCATATGAATTCGCCAACATGAAGGCTACCAGCAACGCTGAGGACGAGTTTGCTCACGGACGTACACCCAAGGAGATGTCGCGCCCTGCCACAACAACCAGAAATGGCTTCATGGAGTCGCAAGGTTGTGGTATGCAAGTTATCATGGACGCCAAGCTGGCTCTCGATATGGGAGTCCCCATCTACGGTATCCTTGGTTTCACTGCCACAGCGACTGACAAGATTGGTCGTTCCGTTCCTGCTCCAGGAAAGGGTGTGCTGACTACCGCGCGAGAGACCCCGTCCAAGTTCCCATCCCCACTCCTTGACATCAAGTACAGGAGACGACAGATGGATCTCCGACGCAAACAGATCAAGCAGTGGCAAGAGTCAGAAATCCTGTACCTCCAGGAGGAAGTTGCAGCGATGAAGGACGCCACTGGCGAGGACTTCGACGAGGCTGCTTATCTTGAGGAGCGTGCTTCCAACATCGAAATGGAAGCTAAGCGACAGGAAAAGGATGCGCTAAACAGCCTGGGCAACAACTTCTGGAAACAGGATTCACGCATCGCTCCTCTTCGTGGTGCCCTTGCTACTTGGGGTCTTACTATCGACGATCTCGATGTCGCTTCTTTCCACGGTACTTCTACCATGGCAAACGACAAGAACGAATCCGATGTCATCAACCACCAAATGCGTCATCTTGGTCGTAAGAAGGGCAATGCGCTGCTGAGTATTTGGCAGAAGCATCTCACTGGTCACCCCAAGGGTGCTGCCGGTGCTTGGATGTTCAACGGCTGCTTGCAGGTGCTCAACTCTGGTCTTGTACCTGGCAACCCCAATGCCGACAACATCGACAAGAACATGGAGCAGTTTGACTACATTGTTTACCCATCCCAATCCATTCAGACTGATGGTGTCAAGGCATTCTCCGTCACTTCATTCGGTTTCGGACAGAAGGGAAGTCAAGCTATTGGTATTCATCCCAGGTACCTCTTCGCCGCGCTTGAGCACCACCAGTTCGCCGCCTATAAGCAGAAGGTTGAAGCTCGCCAAAAGAAGGCCTACCGATACTTCCACGACGGTCTTATCAACAACACCATGTTCCGCGCCAAGGATAAGGCACCATATGAGGACGAGAAGATGCAAGAGGTCTTCCTTAACCCGCAAGCGCGTGTCACCATGGACAAGAAGACCTCTACATACAGCTATGCAAAGACCCCTGCTACTAAGAAAGACAAGAAGGCGCAGGAGACAATGAACATGGTTGAACAGCTCACCAAGGCCACTGCTTCCTCCAACAGCAAAGTTGGTGTCGATGTTGAGAGTCTCAGTGCGCTGAACATTGAGAACGAGACCTTCATCGAGCGCAACTTTACGGAGAAGGAGATTGCATACTGCCAGAAGGCACCAAACCCTCAGGCAAGCTTCACTGGAAAGTGGTCAGCCAAGGAGGCTGTCTTCAAGTCCCTAGGTGTCAAGGGGCAAGGCGCCGGTGCTCCGCTGAAGGATATTGAGATCGTTAACAACGAGTCTGGTGTTCCAACCGTACAGGTATGTGCACTCCAATACGCAATCTAAGAATTATATACTAACATTTACACAGCTCTATGGCCAGGCTCAAGAAGAAGCCAACCGCGTTGGTGTCAAGAGCATCAACATTAGCATCAGCCACTCTGACGACCAGGCTGTTTCAGTCGCGATTGCGCAATGTTAAATATAGACCAGCGGTGGGGTATTCATGTTCATAACGATAGAGGCGTAGTAGTATAGTTGGGCAAGAGAAGCAACACCGTTCTCTTGCATGTTTGGGTCTCAGGCGCATGATTTAGATGTGTCCATGACTCGCGAAGATTTATGTATTGTAATGCAAAAACATGTTCAAAACAACGTTACTTTACTGCGCTGCGTGATCGTTGTAGGTGTTACTCGTCAGTCTTTTCCGTCTGCACAGTTTCTGATTGTTATCTACTCGGCCAGAGGAGAACGAGATAAGCTCAACAAAACCCCGCTCGCTCGCGCAGAGGGAAGTTGGATGTTGTTGAGCGAGTTCGGTTACATCAGATAAGGTACCCCACTGTTAACCGTCTCACGCGGTTCGTCATGCAGTTGAGGCTGACCTGCAGCGGGTAGCTGCATAGCTTGCGTTTTGTTGAGCACAGCCCTAGAGGTTAAGAAAGTCGTTGGGAAGTTGGATGACGTATCTCGGAAGTGAAGGTCTGATAGTGAGATGAATTAGCATTACGGAGAGGCGCGCATCGTTTAGGTCAATTGTATAGTAGACGGGTGACGCACTGGTTACTCTAGGTTACTCTAGGTGAACGTAACGGTCCAGGCAGACTGCACGATCTCTTGTACCTAGGTAGTTTTCGATTTGGCTTTGGGACGAGACAGTATATAACGGCGCTTTGTCGCCACTCAAAAACTGTATGGTTGTGACTTTCTTCCACTCTAGCATCTCGCGGGCGTGTCGAATTCGATAGGACATCCATAATTGCGATGGCAGGTAATCAACCGCAAATACTCTCGGAGATCTGGTAACGCTCGAATGGTCAGTCTTTCTTCGGTACAGACTCGAGTGAAGGCTAACAATCCAATTTCCATACATATATGTACGTCGACTGGATTTGAGTGGTATTAGATTTTGTTTTGTTTTTGGACGAGTCTGAAGCTCCCCATCGACCATTATTCACTTCGTTTTAACACTTTCGTATCATCACTACACAACGTCTCGACGCATTTCATAGCAACCAACATCTCTTCTTTGAAAGCTGACTTAAGTCTCCACATTATAAGGGTAGCCATGCTTGACCCATTTTATATCCTGGTCAGACGGCCTTAGGTTTGGTACCAGCATGGTTAATCCTTTGCTATGATCCTCGTAGTCTATGTAGACCTGGATGGGACAACGATTCGAAGATTCTTCAGACCCATAGTTGGGACATTCTGTTGTTGCTCCAGAAGAACTTGGGTAGTGCATGACGCTATCAATATCGTAAACGTCAAGAGTAAAGAGGGGAAGGAGATTTCCGGTAATGCCTTTGACGAAATGGCCGCACAAGCAATCATACTTGAGTGCATATCTCATATTATCGCAGATGTCGGATCGGGTGACTTTAGGGTCGCCCTTAACTTTGGCGCGTTCCCAGCACTGCGTCAAATCATCATTGATTGTTCATATTTGCACGTATAGGGAGAATTCTGCTTACCTCTTCGAAATCGTTGATGTTCTCGTATTGGACCTTGATATAGGTATCTCGATCACTACGCTGGTGTTCATGTACCATACCTAGCTTTTGTCAATACGACTGTCGCAACTTACCATTAGATGGCACCTCTTACCCATGACATGACCGAGCTCGCTTAATGTGAGAGTAGGAAGTCAGTGTATGTCTTGTGTTGAGCTTCTATAGCGATACTTACTGCAGAACGCAATGGAGACATTCGCCGTCTCCGATGTGAAGCTGATTGGCCCAAGGTGTCTCCTGGTTAGGTTGTAGACCTACACTAGCACTCCATCCCATCTCGTCTCCACCCCAATAGATAGCCAGTGTTGCATGAGGCAGAGCTGAGTTCCACTCATCGGGGGCTTTACTGTCTGGCGTACAATAAATCGGCTTCCCCTCGCTGTTCAACTGCTCCTCGAAACTGATGGCGTGACCTGCTTCTTTGCCAGCAGGGCCAAGATAGCTAGGAGCCTGTTGATCAACCAGTACATCTTTGACCTAGTTGGCATATACTTACGACATCCACGTTCTTATACCATCGGATACGATCGGCAAGGCGGCTTTGCGAACTTCCTCCGTTTGATAGCAGTACGGGATGACGGCCTTGTTGTCCGAGTTACGCGGCCATCTCACTGGAGCTCTTCCGACAGGACCAGCAAACATATCAGTCGCGCCTTGACCGTTTTGACCGATATAGGCCTGAGTCTCATCGAGATACTGAGCCCAACTGGCCGCCCTTGTACCATTTTCAAAAGTGGGAAGGGGAATACCACAGGAAAAAATGTCATTGGGGCCCGGCTTATGCTTGATCACACCTGCACTTGCGAGCGCTACAAACTGTAGGAGATTTGGTCGCATCTTGGTAGACCATAAGCCAATCGTGAGTTGAGATAGGAACAGGGAAAATAAGGTAGAGAGTAGACTCGCGAGCAGCACCCTTGACAAGCGTGCGTTTGGAGGCCACTTAGTGAGCCCAAAACTGGGTAGGTGAAAGTGAAAGTGATAGCGAGACGACGTGGTGACGCGGCTGTACAGAGCAGAGGGAGAAAGGTGTTGACTGAAATTCCGTGATAGTGATTCCAAGACGCGCTTTTCTCTGCTCCACTCGCGGCCCTAGAGAAACGGAGGATGAAAGACGTCAACCTAAACCATATCATTATTTTTTCATCCCGTATTCAGGTAAACGTCGACTTAGATCACCGTTATCCAGCTCTTTCTGACTGAATGGAAGATCAATCGCCACATACACATGTTTTCACTTAACAAATCTTCAAACATCGCTGATAGCTAAGACATTCTTCGACGCAGTCGAAGCGACCTCCAAACCTAAAGCAAAGAAACAACATCACAAGTGTATAGAGCATAGCATGACGACAAAGCAGATTAAGACGAAAGCAAAACCGGACGCCCAAAAGTCGACACTACCATACCCCGGATACAACGAGACACTATTGCTAGGTTCAGAGTCGGGTTTTTGTCGGTCGAGACTTACCACTATTACATACGAAAGCGCGTTACTTAGATTGGGAACAATTAAGATCCCCGCACTGACACAGCAAGACCCTGCTCACCAAACACGTTGTCCGGGAAGATCAGCGGAAATTATCTAGGTTTGTCATCTCGGCCCTTGTAATTATGACAAAATTTTGATTTCCTGACGGATCGATCGCGAGATGCTACCGCAACTTTAGAACAGAATTTGCAATTTTATTTTCGTTTCTCTTCTTGGCAGGGAGATGATACTTAGTGACTGGAGCGGTAGTGACGTTGACGGCGCCAATGACACTCACAGCTCATCTTGTAGGTCCTGATGTCCTGATAGTGACATACTAAATCGTCCTGATGACCACTCAGGACAGAATTTGTAGACAGATGTAATAGTGAAAACGAGCCAGTGGAGTAGGATCTCAGCTTCTTTGCGAGCATGACCTGTGTTGTTACGTTTGATAGACCAGAGCCTGGTAAGCCAGACCCGCTGTCAAAAATAACGGTGATGCTGGCTTGCAGCGATGATGCTTGGGTGACCATGTTTGAGGGAGCCTATGAAGCTGTTCGGACCGCAGTGAGGCGTTCGCTGGACATGGTGTACGGGAGTATGAAACAATCGTGGGGTCGTCTGGTAAGGCGGCGTGAGCTAGATCTGAAACCCGGTCAGATAGTTGCCAAAAGTACCATCGCGTGTGTGATTGTCAACATGGCCTCCAATATACTAGACGCGTCGTTGTTGCGTGTTACGGGGCGGTGGCAGCAAATGGGGTGTGGGTGTCTCACAGGGCTGGTGTAGCGCCGATCCTACAGTAATTTCGCGGACGGCCTGGAGATGATCATCGTCAGCGTATAACGGCAGGCGGCGGATGAGGGGCAATTTGCTCACCTCGTGGCACCGATGCAATGGATTAGGTCCAGCCCGGGCTATTCATTTCGGTATATAAGTTGAAACTTGAAGAAAAGTTAATAATATATACAACATCTCAGACGGACCATAGGTATTGTACATGCAGAAAGAGGACGCCCTTATCTGCAGTAAGCTCAGCAGTTGCTAAATCACAGCCAAATCAAGTAAATCATTGGTTGACAACGGAAGAATCAGCCATGTCGGCATATGGGCCGCATGGCACATGCAGTAGTGCAGCTTGCACGCGAAGAAAACACCGACGTTCATATTAGGCAATCAGCCTTCAACGTTCCGAGCAGAAGGGGAGGCATGCCCGTTCGGAACCGCAGACAGGGGCGGGCTGACGGTAGAAAGACGGCCACACGGGAGATGACACGACAGTTGGACCAGGTGTACGGATACAAATCTGGCCGGGCCCGGTATCGCGATAACAGAAGACCAATTGAGTTGTTTCGCTCGAGAGTCGATCAGGAGGAGTGCTCGAGCATGGTTCTGCACTGATGGTAGTACTTGGAAAGGGGAGGTATGACAGCAGCAGGCGGTTAGGCCAGGGGAAAGTGAGAAAAGGCCACCGGGACCATGACTAGGAGGCTGGGTGATTCGCTCGCTTCATTGTGCATCCCGAGGTTAGCGGCTTCAGGTACGCGATGGGCGTTTGGTACTTCTGGGTCGCCTCCCCGCATACTTTTGGCTACCCATGTATGAGGCTGGCGATTGGATAGTATATTTTGCAGCAGCTGCAGAGCTGACAGGTGCAGAGGCAAAGCTGACGATGGGTCGCGGCAAGACGACAAAAGCAAGTCGATGGAGGCTACATAGAGGATGCAGGGATGGGTCAGCCCCTCCCGACGCCTGCAAGGTACCGCCCAGGGCAGGACGCTGATTGGACAGAGCGCCATGGTAGCATAATGTCCCTCGCCATGTTCATGATACTTTTTGTCGTTGCGGCAGCTGGATATGGCGGGCCAAGGGCTATCATGAGAACGTGCGTGGGTGTCTTGGAGACTGTGGGGGTGAGTGCGCATTTGTTATTGGAAAAGGAAAGAATGCCTCTGCGACGCGTCTGAGGAGGCAGGAGCGACGTCTGACAAGGGAAGGCGCAGGTATGACGGGGAAGAAGCGTCGGCGCTAGCAAATGACCGTTTGATCACGTCGCTGCATCTTCACTCTGCGTGTCGCCCGCATCCCCTGGGACGGCGCGGGTTTTGGGCTCAGCGGCGCAATCATGGCCGTCAGACTTCAGTCAGCCTATCGAGCGGATGCTGGCCCGCGCGTTATGGCGTCTCTCTTCACCCTGCACCGCGACGCCCATGCACGACGCGGAAATGAGGCTAGTGGAAATTGATCCTTGTACCATGTGAGTGTGCTTGTCACTCCCCCAGAGGCCCAAAGAGTGCATACCCACGTCGACCCGCTCCTCGAAGCATCTTTTCGGTCGGGAGATCTGCTCTCTGCATTCTTTTCCTTCACCACGCCAGCACTCCGCAGCGCGCGTGCATTCACTCCTTGACCTGTTGTCTCCAGCTATACACGCTCCTTAACTTTTGCTATAATCTATTGTTTTGTACTTTTTGCCGCCAACCGAGCCATCCAGAGACGCCCGCGCCCAAGCACGCCTGCAATCGCTGCACGTCTTCCTTTTCATCCCGAGCTTCCTCCTTCGCCTCTTGCCGACATTACATTCCCCCGTGCCTAGGACACTCTTTCAAAAAAAACACTGCTCGCGATCGACTGCACTGTTGTTTTTGGCCCCGCTACATGTTCGCGTCTGCTCTTTCCTCCCAGCCCGAGTCGCCTTGCTCTCACCTTCCCCACTCATCGCTCGACTGCGCCTGCCCACCCTCCGCAGACAAGGTCCGCTCCAGATTGGTTAGCGCACAATCGTCGCTATAATCCAGTCTAATCGTTGCCACCAGTAAGAAGATACCTCCTCTCGTCTACACTGCCAAGGCGCCCGCCGTTGCCTCTTGCCTTCTCCAGATGCAATGGCGCGTTCGAATCTTTTTGCTAATAACTACCAGGGCATCATGAATCGTTGGCTGAACAGGAAGAAGGATGGCAGTGAGGATGTGGCCGCTGCAAAGAAGACAAAGAAGGGCAAGAAGGGTCAGGAGGAGCCCAAACCAGAGTTCGATCTCAGTGCCGCGCTTCCCAAGGCAGACGACTTCCGGACAAGTCTAATCATGCCTGGCCTATCTACCCGCTTCAGCATGTTGAAGGAGCAAGACGACCCAGACTCCAAGATCGGTAAGGCCAGCGACGACAGTGTACTACAACCGAAACGCCAATCACGCCTCCACGAGTTTGGTTTCGTCCCTGGTGGCCTCTCCGATATTGCCGAAGTCTCCTCCCTCAATGGCTCTATTCGACCGCCCTTTGCAAACGAGCGAACCAATTCCTTCGACAGCAGCAGAGACGACGATGGCTCCGGTAGCATGATGAGCAGAGCTAGACCTGGCGAGGGCAACGTCTTGTTTGGAGGAAGGCAGAAGATCTACATGATCTCCAACAGTAACGCTAAGGGTACTGGACGGACACTATACGACGACGACGTCAACATGTCAGCATACCAACGACTTCGACAAGAGGAAAAGGAAAGGCTGAGGCAACAAGCGGAGGAAAACGAGGGACAGCATTCTGAGCCATCTAGCCCTACGGAGCTCAGTCGTAAGAGGGAGACTTCATCATCCACCAACTCGGGCACAGTGAACACGCGTACGTCCACGGCTGCGACATCAATAGCATCACAAGGTACCAACTCCGTAACAGCGTCCTCTCCTGCCTTCCCGCCCGCAGGTGCCCCTATGACATCCCCCGATCTCAGTAAATCGACGACGAAACGGAGACTCTACGATCAAGGACTGGACCAGCAAATTCAAGAGCAACAGTCCTCAGCCATGAACCGTCTCAATTCCATACAACGGGCACGTGCGCCAACCGGTCGATCAACACCACCAATTTCCATAGCGCAAGCACGGTCTGCCACCAATCTCAGCGATCGCTTCGCTAGAGGGCCAGGCTTCCGCTCAGATAGCCCAAACTCGCTCCAATACCCGGGCGTGAGCAGGAATAACTCCTCTGGTGCGTCGAGTCCCGTCCTCGCTCGTCCACAATCGCCGGCTCTGGCGAGTCCCGTCATTAGCGACAGCGAGGAGGCACACACTCTCAATGCAGCACTTCAGCCCAATGATCGAGGCAAGGCCACGGCCATGGGAACTTTCAATAAACCTAAGGCAGCTTTTAGCGAAGAGCAATATGCAGAGCGCTTGCGCCATATGCAACAGGACCGCGAAGGACGCAGCACACCGACTAATAAAGTCGAAAAGTCCCCGCCGCGCAAGCCTACTTTGAGAGAGCGTGCAGAACAGCAGAGGCGCAAGCGAGCTGAAAGTGACGCAAAGGAGCGGTCGAGCTCTGAGTCGACTGCTGAGCCCAGTCAAGCACCGTCTGCATTCTCCAGGTT